CATGTCAAATAAAAGCTTATTTTATTTATTTTTTATTGTATTGCAATCATCAATCATCATTAATCATCAATCAATTACAATCGACTAACGCATACTTTCCCAAAGTGGGCGCTGATGCTGTCCAGGGGGTGCTACAGCATTTGAAAAAAAAAAACCTCAATTTCTTTATAAACTCCACTACATATTTTTTTTCCATATGATTTTTTAGTATGAAGTTAATTTAAAAAAACGTCTTTTACGTCAATTATTTATTGTGGTGGTGGGTTTTTTACATTGCTTAATTGGGTGAGCTAAACAGCTTGGGAACCTACGGATTAACGGAAAGATGTTTGCAATCACTTTCTTCAAATAAAAAAATCATTAGGGATGACAGGCAGGTAATTGCAGTTGATTTAGTATGAAATAATATTTTGTTTAGAATTTGCCGATGTGAGTTTCTGAAACAACGCTATGCTCTGTCAGTATATTATTATTAACAGAGTATAAGTTGCTACCCCTACTACTTCCTCAACTAAAGCATCATTTAATTTGAAAAATAATGTACGCAATCGTGTTTTGATTTCGTTTAAACATTCTGGTTTACGTGTCTCGTGGTTCCTATGAACGTTGTTATCATAACCTAACCTATTTTTACCGTTACTCGAAACATTATATCACAAATAAAAATAGAACGAAAGTCTTCATCGTAGCATTAATATTGTAGTTCATTCGTCCATCTGGACTTTCCCACTGACATTTCAGAGTGAAGAACTAGTAGAATGTACAGATTTATCACGGACCGGGTAGTATAAAGGAACTTTAGCGCTCCTTTACTAACGCGATGGATCAATAACGGTCGGGTATCTTAAGCACTATTATTAGTCGAATTTTATTCGCACACTATGTCCCGTGTCAAAGTAAGATACTGATATAATTGGGCAGCCGAAAAGAGATATCGGGGTGAGAGAGGTTTTGAACCCTACGACTGGATAGGTTACTTCGCGTGAAGAATACCGCCGCGCTTTTGTCGGGATTGACATCGATTCTCCATCTGCGAAAGCACTCGCCTAGGCACGTGATGGCAGATTGGAGAGCTACAGAAACTAACTTGGAGCTGTGTGCCGAATAAAAGAGCGCAATATCGTTGTCAAAGAGGGCGAGATTTACTGACTGATACTTGGGAATATCGCTAGTGTACAGGGAGAACAGGAGGGGCGAGAGCACAGACCCTTGCGAGACTCCGGCTTTTATGGGGTAACGGAAGGAGAGTGTGTCCTCGACTTGAGAGCGGAAAGAGCTATACGACAAGAAGTTTCGAATAATGTAGGTACACGAGACGATCAGACAAGCCAAGGTTGTACAGCTTGTAGAGTAAGCTGCTGTGCCAGACTTTGTCATAAGTTTTTGCCACATTGAAGAAGAGGGCGCCAGTGGGCGTGAAGCGGGAGCGATCGAAACGTTCGGAGATATGTTCTACTATTGCTGAACGCAGGAGTGCCTACCTCTGAAACCAAACTGTGCTCGTTCTGAAGTGGGCTTAGAGGATGCGCTCACAGAGTTTGCCCATGGTGTTAAACAAGGAGACGGGACAGTAACTAGAGGAATCAGAAAAAGTTTTCTCGGGCTTGGGAATTCCGATGACCACTGCCTCTTTCCACTTTTGCGGGAAGATGGAATTTGTCAGACCAACGTTCAAAATTGCTTTGAAAAGACATAATGAGGTGTGCTGAGAGGTTTTTGAGTACCTTATTGGAGATACCGTTATCGATAGGGCCGAGGGCTTTGCGGGGCTTAAAGTCCTTTATGAGCTATTCTACTTCCTTTCGGGTGACTGAGGGGAGAGGAAGGTCGGAGGGCGGGACGGTTGCTCTGAGTTCGTCCTCGGAGTCCACCTGGAAGAGGTGGGCCGGGTCGACCGGATCTAAGCTTTTTTTGTCATACCAAGTGTCGGGACAAGTCGTGCATCTGATGGGAAGCTACACGCCTGTCCATGACAGTTGCAGTGCACTCAGAACTTTAAATCGCAAAGATCTGAGAGACACTGCCACAGTGCCCGTCACCCTGAGACGTAAGTTGACAAAACCCATGTGCCTGTCATTTCACCAGCACCCTTACCCTTCTAAACCGGAACGCAGTAATGCTAACATTACTGCTTGGCGGCAGAAATAGGTAAAGTGGCAGTACTTCCCTGGACGAACTCTTTCACAAGGAGCTCTACTGCTGCTGGGTGGGTTGAGAGGGGTGCAGTGAAGTGATCGTTTGTAATATGTAATGGTATCGCCGAGGGGGGGAGTTTAACCTATCGTTGCGGTACGCGCCATAGTTAGCAAACATGGGGGTTCGAGCAGAAGGTTTTAAAAAGGTTTCTCTATAATTAACATGACATCGAGGTGGTGGTGGAGGAAGGTTCGAACTTCCTCGCGTTGGTTCAATAAGCCATCCGCGTTGAAAAAATTTAACTAGCTTTAATTATCAGGGCTTGACTCTACTCCTACTGGTCAATAAATCCATGTTAGTGAGAAAAGGAAGAAGCGGAGTATTGGCTCAGGGACTCGACGAGCGAGCTGAACCGCAACATAGCTTGAAGACATGCGTTGCTATGTCCGTCGGTGGCTTGGAGGAGCCTTAGATTCTGTACTTAAAAAACGTCGAAGGTATCTCACGAGGGCCAAGCCGTCCTTAAAGGAGTGGGCCGATGATAGTATGGTGTGAGGACGCGGGGAGCGTTCGCGGGAGCGCGTTGTGCAAAAGGCACTGGCGATGGTTTTGCCTTAGGGGCAGCGGCGACGATGCAGTTTGTCTACTTCGGAGGGTCCTCAGCGCGAGGGATTATCCACGATGATTGAAGGGCTACATGAGCGTGCGTGAATTATCTGCATTATGATGTAGAGTAAAATAAATAAATTATTATTCATAAGTACGAATTCTGCTTATTCTTACAGCGCCTATATTGAAATAAATCACTGAAAAACTCATTTAGTTTTCAAGTGTAATTTTGGCTTCAGCCATGTTATATCTTACTTTTCCCATAGTGGGCCGGTGAGTTGATAACAGGTAGTCAGGTTGAAGACCTTCTTACCTTCGGGTGTAAGGGGGAGGATCGCGAACACCATGTCGTATGGTTTGCGGGAATGGGTTTAGCATTTCTTTTTCTAAAGGACACTTTCAGTTCCGCTGATGGCCTTGCCTGCGCCACCGGAATATCCCCTTCCTCTATCCTATCGCAATTCCCTAGTTCGCCACTATACGGGACTTGATACAGGAGATAATAAAAATCGATTTTCACTACCTACTCAAAGTATATTGAGAGAGAAAAACGCCTTGAAATGGAGAATAGCAAAATCAACCATTAAAATAATTATAATAAATATTATAATAAAATTTAGGCGCTACTTATACAAATGGATTTTCATGCGTGAACAGCCCTTAGAGGTGGATAATTTTCTTCAAAATTACACTATGGAGGTACCCTCTTTCCAACAAAAAAAGAATGAAGAAAATCGATTCACAAATACCGGAGTTATCGCGTAACATATATACAAAAAAAACATGTAGTCGAATTGAGAACCTCCTCCTTTTTTCAAGTCAATACTTATTCTGATGTTTTAAGAATTTCGAGCTTGAAATGCAGTTGTTGAATACATGTGTAACTCTCACGTTAACGAGTACGACAATTTGCGCAAAATTTCTAGGTACTCGCTGTGCAGATATTCTAGTTAGTCGTTAGAGACTATGTGGGTACTTAACGCAGCTCTCAACTAAGTGGTCCTTGCTGTTAGTTGCTTGTGTTGAAAAAATATCAGCTACAGGAGGTTCTTGTCATAAGAGAATTGGTATTTAGATAACCTAGATCATTCAAACCGCATTTGCATAATAGCTACAAAGGGAAGTACTGCCACTTTATCTATTTTTGACGTTAGTATCAATGTGTTTCGGTTTTGAAGGTATTCGGTATTCAGTCTTACTTTTGATTATATGTGCTCGGAAACACGTTCGCAGGCAGGGAATTTCATTCCTGACCTGTGCATATAATAAAATATGGTGAAAAATGCTTAGTACGCCTGAAGGGAATATCGACCAAGTAAGGATGATATCCCGCCGTATGTCTGGATGTCCGATGGTAAAAAGGGGCGGGCGGGATGAACTAATGGAGCTTAAAATACATTTCTACACGCAGCTAGTGCTTAGAGATTCCCCACACTAGCGTCTTTCGAGCGTCAGCGTCTTGCCAACGTACGCACAGCGTCGAGACGGCGTCCGCGCGGCGGCGACGACGCAGCACCAGCACTGAGCGATTGCGGGATAGTGCCAGGTACGTACACAAGACAAGATTTCAACGCGCGTTACATTTTTGAATAGTGTACACATGGCGGGCGCTTTTCGGGCGTTGAGCACGCGTTGTCACTGTTTCAGTGCAAGTTCGGCATATACACATACCCAATGCTTTCTTCTTTTCGTTACTGTCATCTCCGTCACAGAATATAAGAACAAGTCCTTCCCAATTCTCCTTAAAATCTTATTCGAATGATCCTTACTTATCATATTCCATATTGCAGGACGTTTCTCAACTTCGTTTATGAATAAATCCGTATTAAAATCTTCTGTACCCATTTCTAGAAACAACTTAACTTAACCCTCAGCCACTTACCACTAGTTTTGCTTCCGTAACCACTTACCACACGTCTAGGAGACACCTCGCATTGAATGCCTCAATTATGATTAAAATTTGAAGATTGTGGATTAATTCAAATAAAACAGTAATTTACAATGTATAACAGTATTTATTACAAGAAAAAATACGAAATAAAATCAATCTTTTTGGAAACATAACAAAATTTCTAGTTAGACCTCTAAATTATAATAAAAAGTAACGACTTATTTGGAAATGAGATCAAAAATAATGGAACCTATAAATTATACATTTTCTTATAATTATCTAAAGTTTGCTATATTTTACACATAAAAAAAATATTTTGGTGCCACTATTGTCTTTTTTTTTTTCAAAATTGCAAGGTAGTTATTTAGCGATTCTCGCGGCAGTGAATGCACAGCTTATTTGAGCATTCGAGACATATTGAAACTTTACAATTGAAACACAGGTATTGTGTCTTGCGTTTTTTCTTTGGGTCACAAGTGGAACACACCTTACGTATTTCCAGCTTATCACAGCTACCACCTGCAACAGCTGGTGTGTCTGCTTCATGGATTTGCAGGATCCGACGGAGAGCAAATTTGAGGTCCCGTTGAATATGAATACTTTTTACTCTGCATTCCATGTAAGGTCTTGTGAGTTGTTCTGCCAGCATCTTGATAAAGTGGAATCTGGTTTCTTTCTTCTGTGCTTGGGCTGATAAGCTTACAACATAGGCATTCGAGGTCGACACGTCGAGTAACCTATAAAATATGGCCAAAGGCCATCGGCGTGTTCGACGGGCCGTAAAATAGTTTGAGCATCTCTGATCAAGCAAATCTACACCAAATTTAGTGCTATTATAAAATAATATAATCTCTGGCTTCTTTGTGCTGTCATCGACCTCTGGTGAATGGTGCATACTTGAGAGCATTATAACCGCTTTATTTGGTTTGGGAACAAACGATGCTAATGTGACATCTTTTGTAAATCCAAACAGACAAGATTCAGTGTGTCGATAACGAGAGGGCAAGAATTCTGATGGTATTTCTCGCTGATTTTTTCTCAGAGTGCCCACTAATGTCAGTTGTTTCTCTTTTAGTAAATCCGCAAGCTCTAGGGACGTGAACCAGTTATCTGTGGTTACGTTTCTGTTAGACCCTTCTATTGGAGAAATTAGTCTCATTACTGCCTGTGTAGGTTTCTTCAGTCGGTTATATTGTGAAGGCAAATTTAGGCCATCAGAGTCTTTACCTAAGTAGATATATGCATTGAGAAGGTAACCAGTCCTTGCATCTGTAATGCATAATATTTTTAGGCCGTATTTGGCTGGTTTCTTTGGCATGTACATCTTGAATCGGCACCGTCCTCGAAAGGCTAATAACATTTCATCCACACATGCGTAGCTACCAATCGAGTAAACAGCTTGGCACTGTTTGATGAAGCTGTCAAAAAGCTCTGAAATAGGTGCAGAGGCGTCAGTTTCTCGCCGTGCCGCTCTTGTAGTAGCATCATCAAAGCGTATAGTGTTTAGTAAAACTTCAAAACGACTTTTACTCATGATACACCTGTATATTTCTCTGCCGCTACCATCCGTCTTATACCATGATGTATAATGTTCCCTATTTTCTTTGAATATGGCAGTGTAGAAAAGTAATCCAATGAATGCTTTTAGTTCTATCAAATCTATATCTTGAACATTAGTTTGCTTATTGTATTTCGGTCTTATTTCGCGAATCTTTTGGTTGGTGTGTTGTACAATTTTATTCAAAATATCATCAGTAAAAAATTTACTCCAGATATCAAGTGGAGTAGAAGAAGCGTTTATAGCCGTTCTGTACTCTGGCTTTACACCTTCTTTTTCCAGTACAATATTGTGTTGTAATGTTCTGGAACGATAATGTGGAGGCTCAGAAGACCAACGAAATCGATTCTTGCCAAAAAAATTCTTCTTTCTGGGACGAGACCTCAACTCTAACAGTGGCACATCATCGTCTGATGAGGTTTGAACAGACGATACGGAAGGCGAATTTCTAGTTTGAAGATTAGTTAAAATTGGTTCTTCCTCACCTTCAATTTCAGAATCGGAGCCGCTGATTTCTTCTAGGACGTGGCCGTCACCAACATCATCTTCAACATCACTAAAAACTCCATTTACCAGGTCCTCTTCATCTGACGGAACTTCTTCTAACCACCTAGCAATAAGCTCGTCATTAGCAGCCATTATTCACCTAAAATGAATAAATAAAAGTTAAAATATTATTTAGAAAATAATAACGTAAGCACTTACCTCAGGTCACACAGACCCCTGCCGATGTTTGGATACTTACCTTGGCTAACCGCGGGCACCTGTGACGTCGCCGGTGGCTCACGCGGTACTGACGAGCGCGGGGGGAAGGTACATGAACGCGCGAGAATGAACGATGCGTTCGCGCCGAAATATTAACAAAAATAACTTCAACGGTGTCTGAGAGACCTGTGGTAAGTGGTTAAGGGTTAACTCAAACACTATCTAATAACCGCACTATTCCAATAAGTTGCTGTCACAACCCAAAAATTAGTAAGTAAACGTTGTTTTGTGTTGTAAACGAGAAAAACATGAGACCACGAGTTACCATACAACCAGACATTTTGAACGAATGTATGAATGAAAAAGTGTTGCCAACTAGGCTAAAGCAAATATCACTAAACAGAAGGACCAATACAGTCAAAAGACTCCTGAGTACTAAGGTAAAAATAATAAATTTTAAACGATTAAACCTAATTAAATACGCGCCAAAAAATAGCAAATTTTTGGTCGCTAGAAATAAAAAAAGCTTGTGATGTCAAAATGTCACATAAAGGGACAAAGTCACTTAGTTGGCAGCTCTGCACAGAGATCCGCGGCGGCGGCGTACGCGTCGGATATCGTTGATTATTAAATATCTAAATGTTAATTTTAAAAAGACAATTACGATAAAGAAATAGGTTTCGCAATAATCGTCTTGTCTAGTATAAGTACCATGAGCAATTCAAAAGTAAAAGTAAGTTAAATGAAGATCGTTTTGTGAATTGTAATATATAATCAAATTTAGCAATGTGATAATCGATACTCAAAAATAAGAATACGAACCGTGGAAGCGGTCTGCAGACCTCCAAGAACCAATTTATTTATTTTTACGTTACATTTATTCAAATTTCAACTACTCAGCTCAAGTTAACACAAAATAAATTCTTTTAGTGTAAATTAAAAGTATTTCGAAATGAATTGAAAAATAGACTAGCACAAAAGGAAAACGATCTCCCAATTATGCTACCAAAAACAGATACCATGTATCAAGTTTGCATCTCTAAGCGGTGATAAGTGACGTGATTGGCTACCTTAATTTACTATTTTACGTTAGGGCCGGATTAAGGGTTACGAGACTATTGTAATTTGAGTACTTGACACATGTTGTAGAACGTGTTTACTTAATTTAGTTATGTTTATTTAAGTTAGTCTTATCTTATGACGCATACAATATGACTTGAATTCCTGCCAGCGTCATTTAGAAAATTTTACTTTTCTTAAGTTGTTGTAGGTAGTTTATGACAACGCATAGTTCAGAAACAACATGTCTCCCAAAGATTCTATGAGAGGTGCATTTTAATTATTGGGTCGTCAAACACGGAATTTAGGCGTGTTAATTACTCTCAAAGTAATACAATAAAATACCGGTATAATTAATCATCATTCAGATGATGATAGATCAAAGAAAGCGACTGATGGGGTGCTGATTAACGACGGAGGTCAACGACCTATTAAATTACAAAGATTCTGTCCTGAGTGCCTCCCGGTAGTTGCCCCAAACAGCTGTGTTTTATGATGTAGGGTTGACAACACAGGCTTTTCAAGCAAATCTTTGTCATTGAATAACTCGGAAACTATTACACTAAGTGCAAAAAGACTTTCAGTACAATTAAGTACATATTTAAGACTCTTCACAGTTTTCGGCTTTGTCGGCCGTTTTGATCTACTCTGTATATGTAAATGACATAATACGTTTATGAAACACGTTATTAACAATGTCAGAATGACAATGTTAATTATTATATTATGGTAATTTTACTATATTAATATTTCAGGGCTTCTTTAAATCAACAAATACTTGAAAAATCATTGTTTTAAATGCGTGTTGCGTCCGCGTCTTCGATTTAATCTATCCCTTTAGTGACGAAGGAGGTTTCCCATCACTAAATAGCGATTGTGACATCATCGGAAGCACAAAAACGTGTCAGGCTTGGTTTTCATACAGATCGCGGTACTTGCGTTATATATGGCTGTGACCATAACACAATGGAGAACAGCTACGGGTTTGCCTTCGAATGTTTAAATAAGAACCTGTCTTTGTTATTTATTTTTGAGTTCAGGTTTAAACTGAGTTAAAATATTATTTACTGGACAATATATTGCAGGCATATAAATAATAATTAGTTTTGTAAATTGAAAGTAAGAGGAAAATAACGCCTCCACAATTTTTCCAAGTAAAGTAGGATTTATCGCTTCGTCAAGAGTATTAAATCCACGTTGTATATAAGAATTTCTCTACATCATAAGATATTTACCGTTTTTCTAAAGGTTCGAATATGAAACGCAATTCTGGGTATTCCTTAAATAACAAATCCTTCAAGTCACTAAGCTTATATTTCAAACCTATCCAACTACGCCATTAATTAATATAATTAAATGATACAAGTGATCCGGTGGGCCTCGAGTTCTAAAGGCGTTCCCCGCGGTCAAAAAAAAGGAGATTATACTTTCGGCTGTATGTATGTATGTTATATGTATGTTTTTAGATATCTCCGTCAATTGTGGACCGATTTTGAAAAGAATTTTTTCGTTTGAAAGAATGCACTCTCGTGGTGGTCCCATTGTCACCAAGTCAAAATCTGACAAGGGGATATCCTATCCTCCTCAAATTTTATAGGCACTTATATGTATCAATTGTGCACCGATTTTGAAAATTATTTTTTGTTTGAAAGGGTATATTCTCGAGGTGGTGCCTGATGTTCCGGGTTCGTTTCGGCTTTCACTAATTACCAATTATATTCCGCAAATAAAAGTCGACTTTTCACTTGACACAATACATGTAATCAACAAATCACCGTCGCCATGACAACGAGAAAAAAGTATGAATGTACAAAGGAGTCCGTAACAGTTCCATTGTCACCAAGAAGCAGAATCTGATGAGTGAATCCGAAAAGTGGAAATCGAAAAAAGCCGTTAAGTAAACTTTTGAGGTGCGTTTTTTTTTTTTTAAATTATAATAATCAACGGGTTTAAGTAAACTATTTGTAGCACAGAAAACATGCGTACGGGCAACCTGTGTTGTGGGACCTAGAGAATTGTGTAGACCTTTATTTAAATCTCATAAAATCCTACCGCTACCCTGTATGTACATCTTTGAAGTATCTTATTTTGTAATTAATAATAAGAAACTTTTTAACAAAACACAAAACATTCACAGTATAAGAGCCCAGAGTTATTAGTTTATAATAGTTGTACCAAATGAAATTACTACCAGAAACAATACGAGGCCATGTGTGTGAGGATATAAAAGTGATAAATAATAATCTTCTATTTAAACGTAAGCTGACGTCATGGCTAAGAGATAAAATTTATATTCTATTAGGGTCTTGTAAAGATAAAGAATGTGTGGACACATAAATCTCAATAAATTTGAACACAACTTATTTGATAAAAAATATATATATATATTATTATATTCTTGACGTCTTAATGACATGACTATAGCTCACTATGTATATGTTAATCTAAATAATTAAAAGGAATTGCTTTAGAATTGTTTGATTGCCACAATGTACATATCTATATATTGCATGCCAATATCGGTAAAATATGAGGATTGTTTTACTATGTACACTTGTACTTGTGTGTACATTTTCTAAACCATATTTTAAGCAAATAAATATCATTCATTCATTCATTGAATCAACCAATTATAGAATTACAAAGAAATGCCGCGCACCGGCCTTGACCATTTTTCGCTATGCATTGCATATGTCGATATCCATGCACCGCTACAGACGCGACTGCGTAGTACGGACGAGCCTCGTTTTTGGTGCGCTTGTGTGTGCTTGTGTGAAGTGTACTGATCACTTCAGACCGTGTGAAGCCGTATTAAGACGCAGAGGAGCTACAATTATAAGAGTATGATCTCACAGTCCATACCGTGAAAAATACGAACTGCCAGTAAGATATTGAACATACATACATTTCAGGCAGAACTTCATTTGTTTTTATGATGACAAATTGTACCTGAAACAAAAAAAAAAACAGTAATAATCAGTAAGTATTAATAAGTAGTAGTACATGTAATAAATATCTTTACGAATGATGACGTGATATCTTCTAATGTACACAGCTGAACATACTGCGAGGTCTCTATTATAATACCACTCTCGAAACGAAAAAAGGCACATCTCACACATTTTTCAAAATTGACTTATATATTCTGTATAAAGAAAAAAATGCTATTTTCGAATGTTTTTGTAAAAATATATCTGTATATTATTGGGATATACAATAAGCCCAAAAGGTACAACAGACATTTCAATAATCAGAAAAAAAATTATGACACCAAATGACGAAGTTTTATATCACAAAGATTTGAGACGTATGTTGACAAGTCCCATGTTCCTGTAATTTTACCAGCACCCTTATCTTTCAAAATCGTAATGCAGTAATGCTCATATTATTGCTTGGCGCCAGAGATAAGTAACGTGGCAGTATTTCCCTGGACCAACTGTTTCACTAAGAACTCTACTGTTCTTCTTCTTTTAAATGTTATGGCTCCATCGAAATAATCAATGATTTTGCCAATGTCAAGTAAAAATAACTATGTACGGTTACTGTTACTCTTTCTCTCATAAAAGTCATACTTGACGTTTGTTGAGTCAAATTAAAAAATGGGTTACTAACCTTACCTACTTTGATATTTTGGTTAACAAAAGTTTTGAACACTATAGATAATATTTCTTTTATCCGGATAATTATTGACACTATTTGAATTTTGAATTTTTTGAATTTTACTTAGTAATGCACAAAACTGTACCCTTATCATAAATACGTCAAATTTTAAATTTAAAAGTTATATTTAGTTAGTTAAGCCCTTTATTATGTAGTAAAAAAATGTTTTATCATTTTTTATATAAAAAGGGCTTATTGAAATACAACAAAACTTCTGGGCAAAATATATATAATGTATATTTCTAACTGCCTCCGTGGCGGAACGGTTACCATACTGGACTGCCACGCAGAGGTCCCCGGGTTCGATTCCCGGGCCGGGAGAAATATTTGTATGGCCTACATTTATTTCTCTCGTGAGTTTGTGTGTAATTTGTGGTTGTCTATGTGTGTGTCCATGGCACCCGCGACACAGGGTTTCCCTAGTGCGGGGCTAGATTGAGTGTGTGCGGTATTATTAT